GAGATTCTCTTCTTTATGCCAATCTTTGAATTGTATGAATCGGATCAGAGGATCAAAAGTTATTAAACATTTAAGAGCAATACTTATTTTTAGCCGCGGGCGGCTGTCTCGGTCTTTAAGGGTTAAAACCGTTGATATGCAATTGTTCATGGTATGATAATTGTGCACGTTCAAATCGTGGTAGACCGTCATACCGGTATATTGTTACAACCCTAATATATATATATATATATATATATATATATATATATATATATATATATATATATATATATATATATTTCAGCTAGAATTATAAGGGGGGAGTCTTTCTACAGATGGTCTGTCAAGCTCATTCACCTGTGTGCACACTTCATAAATGCATAATGTTTATTGAGAGATATGAAGTGATTATAATATAAATAAAATATAAATACAATTATATATAAAAATTATGATTCAATCAGTAATAAAACTTGTGACAACTTCATAAAAGAAATTAAAATTATATAATAATGATATCTTATTAAAATAGATTGCAGCTAATTTTATCAGAGTGTCTAGCGAATGACTTCTGTTGTTGTTATTTTGTTAAGTCGTCTATTTAGAATCATGGGGAGAATTGTGATCTTTATTTTAAACACACACACGCTCTCAATTTATTCAGTATCCAGCAGCTCTGTCTATCCAGTACTGATGCAAGAATGAACTGGAAACCAAAAACCCACCAACAATACTAAGTGAAGCCAAAAGCAAAGTAGCCCATCATTCATAAGCTGCCTCTGGGAGTCTCTTGATTTGCAGTGTGGGAGACATACTGAGAATGAATGCAGGCTGCACTGATTTTAGATCAGGTGTTAAGCCATTCTCTGATGCACATCAATCAGAATCAGTTTTTATATTAGAGTAATACTGTTTAAGAGATTGTTTCACTTTTCTGAACACACCACTGATGCAAGGCTTATATAACATGTAAGGATGACTAAACACACATGCAAACAAACAGAGCCCCTTCTGCTGTGAATCACAATGACAAGTGCAGCACAGTAAATGTAAACGACCACCCATATCTGAGTTTTAATTCTTCTGTGCATTGCTGATGAACAGCTCTAGAAGCATGTGGTGCATGTTGATTGTTAATAATGCTAAATAAAAAGTTATACTTTCTCTATATCAGTTTTAAGTGCGGTAATATATCTTGCTATATGGGCATGACATTACTATTTATTTAAATGCCACAAAAAAGTTTTGTAGGTGACAGCAGGCTACTTTATACCAAGCTCCATTGTTTGAGTGAGCAATTTAAATGTCCTGTGGCAAGCTGTTTTTACATTTAGCTGTATTCTTTTGGACTGGTGTGTTTTGAAATACTAATACTTTAATTTAGAAGGCAATAGCGACAAATCACTAATTTGAATTTGAAATTAATTAAATCATTTAGTTACGTGATTCTTTGACAAATATATTAATTCAGGGGTTTTCAAAGTGTGAGGCGCGCCTCCCCTGGGGGGCGCCAGAGCATGTCAGGGGAGGCGCGGGAAAAAATATTATATAATAAAAATATAATTATTAAGTTTAATTATTATATGTATTTTTGTATTATTTTTGTATTACAATTTTTAATTAAACAAAGCTAAAAAAAAAAAATACGTCAAAAATAAGAAAACCTTTTTTACCCAGAAGGCCACAGCTGTGAATTCACTTCTGTTTGGCAAGCCCGCCAATACAGGTATATGCCTGCTAACACAATGGATCGGTTTCTGAGACCCCCGATTCAAAGCCTTCAAGTTCAGGGCTTAAACCCAAAAGACGACGATATGATGATCAGTATTTGAGTTTAGGATTTACGTGGACAGGACGAGCTGATGAACCACAACCTTTATGTGTGGTTTATCAAGATATTTTGGCTAATGACAGCATGAGACCTGCTAAACTTCGACTGTTTTGACTGGGATGGACAGTTCTTGGATCTGTTCTATTCATATTGAACCATCATCCTAGTTTTAAAAACGTTATATTAAAATACTTGTTATTACTCTGTAAATAATTGCACTTTCATGCAAATGATGATAAAAGTGAGTTAACAGTCTGACATCTGTCTGTGTCTTTATATATACTGTATATATATATATATATATATATATATATATATATATATATATATATAAATGTGTGTGTGTGTGTGTGCACGAGTGTGTGCGTGCGTGTTTGGGAAGAGGGGGGCGCCAATGGATAAGTTGTGTCAAAAGGGAGGCCCACTGTCTTAGACTTTGAAAAACCCTGTATTAATTCATTGAGTTTTATTTTACTTATCATTCATTCATTCATTTTCCTTCAGCTTAGTCCCTTTATTCATCAAAGGTCGCCACAGTGGAATGAACCACCAACTTATTCAGCATTTGTTTTACACAGCAGATGCCCTTCCAGCTGCAAGCCAGTACTGGGAAACACCCGTACATTCTCACATTTACACACATACACTACAGCCAATTCAGCTTATTCAATTCCCCTATAGCGCATGTGTTTGGACTGTAGGGGGAATCTGGAACACCCGGGGGAAGCCCACGCGAACACAGGGAGAACATTTTTAGTTATAAATAACAGCCAAATTCGATAAGAAATCAATGCTTGCATAATCAGAAATAATGCTGTATGTAAATTACTTGGAGATGACACATGACATCATATTTTGAGATATTTTGTCCTCAGACATGGAATTATGCATTTCTATGGATATAATACACACCAAAAAGAATTTGCAATTATAAAGTGGTGGAGCAGTCACATGGTACAAGACATAGCTTTCAAAAATATCAATTAAAAAGAATTGGAATTAATTGGAATTCTTTTACTAGTCGAAATCCTGTGATTACGGTAATTTTCACATGTTGTGAAGGCATATTTAATGCTTATTAGTACACACAGAAACGTCATTTACGTTTCCATTAGGGATGCTCAGATCAATCGGCCAAAGTTCACTATCGGCCCATAATCATATTTATGAATCCGTACTCGCTGATCTGATCTCATGAACCGATCGCAGGTGTTTGTGTTACTTGGAGATCAGCAAAATATTTGAATGACATTGCATGTATTTAGGCCTTTTTACATATAACAACTGAAAATTCTGTGTTTTTGACAATATCGCAAGTTTACTTATAATATTATATTATACTTATAATTATATTAAGTGAGGTAAGTGGATGCTTAAATATCTAGAAGTATAAATTAATGTAACAAATTAAATGTTGTTTTCTATCATATTTTGTATGATGAAAGTCAAACAAATGAAATTCTAGCATAATTAAATTTTATTTAACATAAATTAAAATTTAATATCAATATAATAATGTTGTTATGTATTATAAAATAAAATATTATTATTACATCTGCACAAATTGTTCCAGTCATAAAGCAGTCCAGCAGTCAAAATTATACATTTTTTATTTTTATTTTAAAATCAATTTTATAATTTAGCAATTGCATTAAAATACAATGTAGAAAATATAAATGTAGTGATATAAAAAACAGCTAAATAAATAAAAACAAATAAAAATGAAATAAAAGTAGAAATGGTGCATTTCAGGACTTTTAGGCAGCATGGCTGGAATTGCTTAGGGCCAACCAAATGACTAGATCCGCCCTGACAGTAGTTTATAGGCCTATTTTCTTTTAGTGAAGAAGTAATGGATTTATAGGTTTGCATTTTAGCTTCTTATGCATTAAATATGCTCTCCAAAATGTTTCTTGATTCAGACATGTTGTTTGCAAATTGCATTGTTAGTAATCTCACCATTTTTTTTGTCTGTGTTATCTATTATGTTCTATAAAGCTGTGACATGTTCACACCTAAATGCTTATAAGTGACGTGTTTAAGGCATTATATGCAACATCCTTAATTTATTCTCTTAGGTAAGAAGAGATTTAAGAGGGAAAATGTGTTTTATTCATTATAAAAAATGAGAATTGGTACTCTGTATCGGCCGATCATTATGACAAAGAATCAGTACTCGGTCTCAATTGCAAAAATCCTGAAAGGAGCATCCCTAGTTTATGTTTATGTTGTAATTTACTAATCATAATGTATATCTTAATTAACAAATACTGTAATAATAAACCATAAACATTGGTAGAATTCAAGATAACTTGAAAAAGAATAAATAACAGTGTCTTATGTATACTAGTAAAAGATACAAGTTAGTATTCACTTATTATTAGTTGAAAGAAATAAGTGCTAGTGAAGTACCAGCTAATTAAACCACCCTGAATGTTAAATTAGCTTGCCATACATGACCTCTCATTGAATCTACATGGGTGTTGATTGTGTATGAAGAAAAAAGGTATGTATGTCTATTAATAGCACAGTCAATGTGTGAAGCACTTCGTTCATTAATAAAGCATTGATTCTTTGGATGAATTTTAGTATACCCATTATTGATTTCCTATAAACTATAACATCAGCATTATGGGTTATAGAAATAGAGAGCGAGTGACTATTACTAAAGCTATTGTTTACTCATTTAAATATGTGTTCATTAGGCTAACATAGAAATAACTACCAAACGCAAAACTACCGTTAAACTCTGCTAGTTGGTCAAGTCATGAAGAGAGAACACATATGCAGAATCACCGTGGCCTGTAAATAAGCACATAAATATGCTTCACAGACACTGTGTTTTTGTTTTACACAATGTAACAGCAGATAACCAAAGCTTTTAAGGCGATGTCAGAACAATTAAAGAGAAACACCAAGCGGAATATAGGTTTCAAATGCGAAAAACGCAACGTCAAAGCAATGAGGTGCTGAAAAAGAGGTCAGTATGTTTCCGCGAGCGGCGGCGACATTGAAGCATCATCACCATCACGGAACCTGTATGTGTGTGCGTCTCTCTCTCTTCCTCTATCTCTCTGTGTGATGCTCGCACCGAGGATGCACGACTGATCCTGACAAATCAACACATATCCATCCAAAAGCACACATTAAGACAAGGGAGAAGCGTCGCCGTTGTTTAAAGGCTTACCCTCAGACAGCTCCAGGTCCAGTTCAGCGAGCTGCTCCCGGACCTCTTGCGGGAGAGCGGACACATCCACACCGCGCTCCGCCATTATGGCCCGAAACCGCGAGGAAAGAAAGGCGCAGAGCGGTTTCCCGACAACAAAAACACCCGTGTCCTCCTCACAGTGTATAACGACTGGTGTTCGAAAGCAGACCGAGCTCCATCACCTCCGCCATGCCGAGAGAGAAATCCCTACCGATGGGAGAGTCACATGACCAGCGCTCGGGATGAGGAGTCTGAGCTCTGCAGCCGCGGCGGGTTTGCTCCCTCTGCTGTGGCGAGAGAGAATCTTTATCTCATGTAACACCATGAAATCAAACACTGCCATAGTTCTAGTGAATGGCTTTACATTGAATAATATTAATTTGCCCTAAATTATTCACTCACATTTGTTTTCTAAATAAGTAGGTTGAGTTTCTTCACGTGAAGCACAAAATGAGATATTCTGAAGAAGCTTCACGCAGCTCTTTTCCACAACGCTACTTTATGGCAAGGCAAGGTTGTCAAAGAAAGTGAGCTTTTAAACAAGGTAGGAGTAAATAAATAACCGAATTATTTGTATTTCGGGTTAACTACCTTACTACGTTGTTATTTTGGTTTAACAGATTCTTAAATGTAGTTTTAAAAATAATTAGTTAATAAAAATTAAGTTACAGTTATCAAGAAATATGTTTATTACTAGTTAAAATTTCATTTTTGATATCATGAATGTTTTCGTAATGATGTCATTTTTGATATCAAGAATTCAGGTTTGTACTAGTGGTTATGCAATTCCTGATATCAAAAATCAGCTTTTTTAATATCAAAAATGTAATTGTTGACATCAAAAAATAATGTTCAGCCGTTTTGACTTAATTTATTCTCAGGATATGCAGTTTTGATATCAAAATTTTAATTCTTGATATCAACAAGTAAATTGTTGATATCAACAGTCTGCATTCCTGATATCAGAAACTAAATTGTTGATATCAAGAATTATATTGTTACTAGTAAAAATGTCAATTCCTGATATCAAGAACTTAATTTCACTTGTTGAAATGTTAATTCTTGATATCTGCAATTATATTTCAACATGTTACATTTTTTATTTCTAATATCTAAAAATGTATTTCTGATATCAACAATTAGGAAACAAATTTTTTGTCAACAATTACTAATTTGACTAATAACAATTGCATTCATGATATCAGAAATTAGGAGACGCAGTGGCGCAGTGGGTAGTGCTGTCGGCTCACAGCAAGAAGGTCGCTATTTCGAGCCTCGGCTGGGTCAGTTGGCATTTCTGTGTGGAGTTTGCATGTATCCTCCGGGTGCTCTGTTTTCCCCCACAGTCCAAAGACATGCAGTACAGGTGAATTGGGTAGGCTAAATTGTCCATAGTTTATGAGTGTGAATGAGTTTCCCAGTGAAGGGTTGCGGCTGGAAGGGCATCCGCTGCGTAAAAGACGTGCTGGACTAAGCCAAAAAAAATGAATGAATGAATGATATCAGAAATTAACATTGTCACTAGTGACAAACTGATTGTAAACAATTTGTGATAATGTACTTCAAATGTATTATGACTTTATTTTATAACCCATATGACAACTGCTTAGTTCCTTGTTTTTGTTTCTATTTTTCCCCTTCTGTCATTTTTTTCCTCTTCAAAATAAAAAAAGTTATGAAAAAAGAACTAACATATTGATACAAACGTCTAAAAAGCTTTCTTTTGATTTTACAAGCACTATATTACTGCAATATATGATTGATGTTGCAGTCAATGTCCTTTTGCCATCTAGAATGAGAATATCCCATTGAGTAAAGGCGAATTGGAAAATAATTATTGTGATCCAACATTAGCTTTGCACTTATGGATGACATGATAATTCATTTCAGGTGAAGGATAATCCACTTACATCCAAAACAAGTTGTATGATCTTTATAGCATGTGCTTTATATACACATTGCTGCTGATTGGACATTTTTGACACACCCACTAAACATGAGACTATATTAATAGTGAATGACAGGGATTTTGTGCACAATGAGTATCTGTGACAGTGTTACTCGTGTTACTCACTGTATTTGAGGTAATAGTTGCAACGATTGACATGATTTCATCATTATTATTGTATTTATTTATGTTGAATTTCAATAGCAGACTAACAAATGTTGTTCATGATGCTACAGTCTATTTTTGTGTAAAACCCAATGCCATAATTAGGGTGGTTTCAGAACTTAAATTAAAAGCTAGAAATAATGAATCCAAATATTAAATATGAGTTAATTAAAATATATCATGATAAAACATTTACACTTTTAATTTTGCACACTTGAAATATCAATGCAGTTAGTTGCTGTTAATTTATCAGGTTTAGGGTGTTCTTATGTGAACGGTTTTGTAACACACCCATGTTTATGATGTTGTAAATCCAATTAAGGATATGAACATTTGAGTACAAAAAAGCATACGTATACAGTATGCAGACATAAAGAAAGAGAGAGACACCAACTGACTGAAGATGACAAGCTTTATTTCAGACAGCTTCAGATTCAGAATCAGCATCTGCCTTGTCTTTGTCTTCATAATCAAATCTGTGATTGCACCTCACATCCAGCAGCTCCAGTGATCCTCAACAGCACGCATTGCTTTCTGATGAGCATCACCACACTGCATCGCACTGGTCTCATACAGAAATCCTCACCACAGCTTCACTTTCAGTTTACCTCATCGGCTCCATTGACTTCTGGCGACCCTTACCAGCTCTCAGTTTCACTTGGTGACCCTCACCAACGTCTGTGCCTTCTGGTGACCCTCACCGACCCCTTTATTTACTGGTGACTCTCACCATCCCTCAGTCTCTCACTGGCTGTGGAGACTTGCATTAAACATCACCAGCCCCAGAGGGTTGTTCACTCTCTTCCACTTTGTGCCTGTCATTGCGGGAGCCAATATTTTGCCAAAAATGCAAAAATCGTCTTCTCAGACGCCCAAGTTGCCCAATTTTTGGTGGCTTTGAGCTTTAAAAAAAAACACATCACAAGCATGAATATGGATGATTAGCATTCCACAATACATCAATATAAACCTATGTGTGTACATTTATTGGGGTATATGAGGTATGTGAGCAGTATCAGTCTGTAGTGTGTGTTTGTGTTCAGAATCTGTACCTGGTCTCTGTGAGAAGCACCTGCTGGACACACTTTTCAGGAGTGAAGTCCCCTCCCGCCTCAGACACACTGTCTCCCTCCTCAAACACACAAAGTAAACCAAACCAAAATAATGATCTATCATCGTTTTCATCAGCTGAACACCATTCTGAATTCAAAAACCTGTCACACACACAGATGGTTTTATTTGAAACAAACACAAGTATAAACTTACTGCCATGTTGGTGGCAGATGCTTGAGGGTACATATTGGGCAGTAGATGCCTGAGGTTGTCCAGCATGTACTCTGTGAAGCTGATACACATCTCCTCTTCCTCAAGCTTTGTGGGGCCTTGAGGAACACTACACACACATAACAAAAACATGTTACATTAATAAATGTACCAGACACCCATCTATCTATTATGACTGACAGCTCCATTTCACACAGACTTTAAGTTATGTCATAATGCACAGACACCGTCAGATGAATACAGATATACAAACACTTACTGAAAGAGGATCGGCCCAAATTCTATGGACAGGTTGGTGGTGGTCATGCGGTTGGCATGACTCTCGGCAGCCACTCGGGACAGGAAGAACGTTAGAAAGCAGAGGATGTTGTAATTTTCCTCTGGAATGGTATCCAGTATTTTCTTCACTGCCTTGTGACGTTTGCTAAGTCTGAACACTGCAAGATAAAATATTTCCAGAGTTAAACAATTTGATAAAACTATTTTGATAGCTCCCAAAACCTTCACTTACTCCTGAACACTTCCAGCAGTTCAATCCTGAATGGCTCTGGAATGAGACCACCTGGAAGAGTCCTGAGGAAATGTTTCAAGACGTAGGCTGAGGAATGAACATCCTCAATGCTCATCTTTGGGAAGCCTCCGCGATCAAAACATTTCCTCAGTTCATACTGGCGCAATACTGTACCACCAACCCTGAACAGGCCTCTGGTACTGAGGCCTGAACACATATTTCACAAATACAGTGTCAGATACGTGACAAGCACTTGGAAACACTGTCAAATGCCAAGCCAGCACTCACCATGCTTCTCGAGGAAGCCCACCAGGTGTGTGAAGGCCAGAGGAAGCCCCTGTCTCATCTGTCCGGTCTTCCTCAGATGTGACAAGGAAACACCAAACACCTTGCTCGGTGCTTCCTCCTGCACAAGAAAGAGGGTTAAGAATAAGAAAAGAGAAGGTGAGAGCTGTCTAATGAATCTAAATTATTAGTAACTATGAGTGCACATTTAAACACTAAATTTATTAATTTTCTCCACAAACACATTCACTAACAGCAAGCATTTGTGAATTACTAGTAGGCCTAAAAGAATGTGTGAATGTTTATACTTACACACACGGATAAAACTCCCATTATGGGGGTTTTGCCGAGCAACCAAATCCAAGGGGTGTCCAAAGCCGTCAGTCGAAGTCAGAAGAAAAGGGTCGTTACCGGGGAATCCAAAACCGTATCCGAGTGTCAAAATGAAATCGCAAATCCAAAGCCGTAGTCGAAGTCCGAAAAAAGTGTCAAAAACCGTGAATCAATAACCGTAAATCAATCGAGAAATCGCAAATCGCACAAAACCACTAACCACAACCAACGCCAGAACACCCAACAAAGAATTCTAATAAAGTACGTGCATATAACCCTGCCGCAGCTCTCACGTCATTAGAACGCGTTCTATTTAGAATCCGAAGATTAGCTTAGTTTTCTAAGATGTCCACCTTTAAATCATTAATATGTGTACATATCAACATTAATAAATTGCACATACATGTCTCATAAGCTGAAGCGCGTTTTACAACGACGAAACGCGCTTCAACTTAAGATCCGTTACATGTAACGTTAGATTGTTCAGCCTTGCAAACAGTATGTGCTTTGTATTAAACCCGGTATGCAAGGCTAAACAAATTATACAACTAAACAGAATATACTAATTTAATATATATTTTTTGCAGTAATACTTTGTATGTAACAACATAATAATTAAATAAAATAATATTAACACCATGTTATTACCCGTTTAAACACACGTTTAGCACACTTAGACGTAAATGTAATTTAGTGTATTATAAATGAGTGTATTTTAGAACAATATATTTGGAAAATTACTATAGCCTTTTTTAACTTTATTTAAAAAGCTAGACAGCTTAAACACGTTTGAATTCCCAAAGTCATAAAAATGAACATACTTTTGTAACAACTCATATTTAAAGTTGTAATACATTTAAGTTAAGTTATATTTAAAGGTTAAGCCAATCCATTAACCTATTTACAGAAAGTGAAATGCGTTATGACAGAAATGGTTCTGCCAAACCTTTTTGACTGTCAATTTTTGTGGACAGTATCCTTAGGTGAACATTAGTTTTGTCTTTAATAATTATTTTATACCCATACAATGTTTTAAATGTTAGAACTGTCAAGGCCAAGTTAACGTTAACATGGTCGCGTTAGCCTTCTTAGCCAACGGCATTTATTAGCTAGCTTAAAGCACACATTGAACATTACCGATAGATAGAGAGTGATCCACCAGATCCTGTAGGTCGATAATTGTGCGTGAAGAAATTATGTTGTCAGAGTAAAATAACACAGTGATGGAACATTACTCGATTATAGCTTCAATCTCCACACGAGAGTTAATCACAACTGATAATAATAACGACAATTAACGGCACGCCCAGTGTGGCTAAAATCAAACTACAGTGCAATGCATTCCCGACAATTCAAAAAGAGCCGTATACTGATAAATAACGTTCTGCTAGCTATAATTGAATTGTTACAGTTATGAAATAGTTTGATAACAAGCAGGAAATGTTCATGGGCTAATGATACGATGAGCACATTGAAATGGTCTAAAGCAGGTATGGGCAAACTTGATCGTCGAGTGCCGGTGTCCCTGCAGAGTTTTGTTCCAACACTAGTCAAACACACCTGAACAAACTAATCAGTGTCTTCAAGATCACTAGAAATCTATAAGCAGGTGTGTTTGATTAGAGTTGGAGCTAAACTGTGCAGGACACCGGCCCTCCAGGACCGAGTTTTCCCACCCCTGGTCTAAAGCAATAATCTTGAAGGAGTGGGCCATGTCAGATATAGAGAAAACGTGTTTGGTTTTAAGATTGAAAGATGAAAAACTGAAGTATGCGGTGATGTCAAAAAATGTTGATTTAGGTAGAAGCGACAAGCTGCAAACATGGAAGGTTATATCTTCTTAATGCAAAATTTTGTCATTGCTGTGGAGCACACTATCTAGAAGTCCTTAAAACGAACATATTGGCCTCTAAGGGACAGTTATCAGACCTTATCAGACACATTTGGCATAGAAAAAAAGCAGGATTTTTACAGATACTTGCAAGTTAGAAATTACTCTAAAAAAATTGTAAAAAAAATTAAGGATTACAATTTGATCACAATATTTCCGGATAAAAGAAGAAGAAGAAAAAAAGGTCTCTAAATTATATAAATGCATACAAAACAGTAAGACCCATTCATCAAATTACATAAAACAAAAATGGGAGAAAGAGTCAAACCAATAAATAACAGAGGAAAACTGGATATGGCAAGCCGTTTTGACTTTTATTCATTCTCAGGATATATTTGATATCACAATTTAATTCTTGATAGCAACAATTCAGTTCTTGATATCAAATAAGGTAATTGTTGAACTCAATATTACATTTCAACTAGTAACGTTAATTCTTGATATCAGCAATGATGCCACCATTAGCAGAAATACAATCAAGAATTTTTATCTTGTTATCAATAAAAGACAAAACGGCTATTCTGGCATGCCGTTTTTACTTTTATTGCTCAACCGGACATGAATTGTTCATACCAAGAAATAAATTGTTGATATCAGGAATCCAAATTCTTGATATCAACAACTTCATTGGTAATATTCAGAATGTGACATGTTGATATCAGGAATTGCATCTCCACTAATAACAATGTTAATCCTTGATATCAACAATTCAGGTTCACTAGTTAAAATGTTCATTCAATTTCCACTAGTAAGAATTATAGTTCTTGATGTCTGTAATTTTATTTTCACTAGTTAAATGTCACCACAGACTGCCATTCAAATTGAATTGTTGATAACAAGAATTGATTTCTAAAACCTTCATTTTACATATAAGAAATACAATTCTTACTAAAAGCATTTATTTTTTATATCCGTGGTCATGTGGATAATAGTGCAAATGTCTATTCTTGGTATCAATTGAATTGTTACTAAAAATTGTAATATTTGATATCAAGAATTGGTATGTTATTAGTGACCATGTTAATTTCTGATATCATGAATGTGATTGTTAATAAAAAAGACATTTTAGATATCATAATTTATATCCATTTCAGAAATCTATTTTCAGATTTCAGAAATAACAAATGAACATGTTGAAATACATTTAACTGATATCAAGAATTTACATTTCAACAAGTATCAAATTAAATCTTGATATCCAGAATTGACATTTTTAATAGTAACAAATTCACTATTGATATCAAAGAAGGCAGCTTATATCTAAAATTTAGCTTTGCAACTAGTAAAAATATAATTACTGATATCTTCAATGATATTTTAGCTAGTAAAAATACTCTTGCAGATATCTAGAAATATCACTTTTACATGATTCAAAACAAAATGATGCACACCGCACAAAAAACAGCATCTCATTGAACGCACGAGAGTCTAGAGTTCCATCAATGTTTAATTATAACATATCTTAAGGACCGTTTCAGTTAGTCAATATCATACAGTAAGCAATGTTTGTACGCTGACACTCATTTCATATTTACAGCTATAGTTTAAGGGCTTCACTGACACGTTACACAGTTTGGGATCAGTGAGTTATACACACCGTGGAAAGCAGTACGTTCTACATCCAAACATGATAAATCCAGATGCAAGGAAGGTCAATGACAGACACTGATATGGAAGGTCGGGTTATTCAAATAATACCTAAAGCATACATGGCGTCAAATCAAAACAGATGAGTGGGGGGAAAAAATGATGCATTCATCAAACAATCCTATTGAGCCCATTAGTCCATATAAAAAAAATGGTAAACTGATTTTTAAAAAGGTGCAATTATGAAATTAAAAGTGAAATATGAGGCTTATTTTAACCTAATATGCATGACTTTGCATCTCATAACTTTTGGCATAATAATGATTCACCAAAGATTGATATTTTTTCCGTGAGTAATAGAAATGAGCTTCCAATAATTCTAAATCTCCAAAGTTTTATTGTTAAAAAATGCTAAGGTTTCAATATAAAAGCCAAGCTTTAAGTAAAGCGGATCGTTCTATTTAAAAAGTGATCAAGCGTGAATGCTTTAATGGAATACAACTTAAGTTATACGTTAGTTATGTGCACCAAATGAAATTCATTCAGCATGGCCTGCTGTGAGTCTGTTAAGCCCACGCCCACCCTCCACAAAAAAAGAAATGGTGAATTTCTAGAACACCTTTTCTAAGACCCGATGTTGCTCAAAAGCATTTCAACCATTTTGTAACAAGACTTCACATTCATAGCCGGGTTAGTCAACTACTGTACATTCACAAAATGCAAGCGCGAGAGTCATTGAATGCGTGAGTTTGTGTGTGTTCCCAGTTATGAGACTTCAGCTTTGGGGTCTAACCTCTAATGCAAAGGATTTATGTATTTTGGTTAAAGATACCTACAGTTTAGCAGAGCATATCATAATCATACTGATCTAAAACATGTCCACGTGGTTACGCTACCCGTTACATCCATATATATATTGCAAAATGCAGACAAACCGATAACGATACTCAAATATAAAAATATATTTTCTCTCCATCCTTAAGCGTTTTGCGAAGTCCATTCTGCGGGTTGAGCTATAATGTGAGAACCGATCTTCACCAAAACAGCCACAGAAGCACGGACCTGAGAGAATTACTTTAGAAACGACAATAAAATTAAGACAGACAGGAAGAGAGAGAGAGAGATAAAGGGGAACTGGGAGAAATGGGGCAAATGTGCGTCACTAGAAGAGAGACTGAGAAGGAAGGTGTTAAACTTATCTGCATAGTGTAGTAATCATCTGTCTAATGTGGCCAGAGTCATGCAACGATATTAGAAAAAACCATTGAATAAAATGCTAAATAATATCGGCAAACGAGACGATTATCAACAGAATGCATTAGTGAGAAGAGTGTACTATACAAGTGTGTGTGTGTTTTGTATAGAGATGACTTCATTTCCACTGCAGTGCTTCCTAGTCTGTGCAGTCTGACAGGGGCGTCCTATGATGATGATGTCGCCGCCGGGGAGAGTTTGTGATTGGCCGCGGGCGAACAGGGTGTGGTCAGAGCATGGTCACATTGGTTCCCATTTGTCACATGAGAGGCTTTTACAAACACATCTGGACTGATAGTTCTGAGGTGGGAGGGAGGGGGTTCGCTTCTTTGAAAGACTCAAAGTCTATATCGTTCGTATTGGCTGTAGGACGTGCTCATCATCTGGATGTGGGCTGTGATTGGGAGGAAGCGTCTCCGGCGGAGTTACTCCACTGGCCTGAACCCATTCCTGCTAAAACAGCTACAGCCTCGGCTGCGCGTACACTCAGACCGTTCACGGACACTGGAGCCGGCACGGTCACGGGCATCACCAATGCAGACACTGAACTCTCATCCACTCCTGCAGCTAAAGGGAGAGAAGTGGTGGGATGTTATGCATGACAGATTTAGGCCACTGACAGATACTATGAGGATAATTAATGATGGTGATGAATGGTTTACCAAGATATGCTTTTTTCTGCATGGCTGTAACAGGACAGTCCTTATGGGCCAACAGCAGCTCCTTCAGACGTGTCACCTCAGTCCTCAACAGCGAAACTTCACCCTGTCAAGCAAACGTTCAACACGCTGTCAAGAAAACCTCATTAATGTACAATAACAGACGATTCTGGGGATGTAAAATCTGCTTAACATGCACAGATAACGAGACAATAGGAAAAGCTTGGCTTAACCAAACGCATGACAAGAAATAAAAGGATAAATTGCAAGTTTGGGGTCAGTAAAGTATTTGTGGTCGTTTTTTTGTGGTCAAAAGCTGGTATTTTGTCGTTTATTTAGAATTTAGTTATGGAAAAACTGAAGTTTTAGCATTGTAATATAATTTTAAATACATAATTTTTAGTGACGTGATGCTTCAGAAATCACTTTTTATATGAATATGCTGCTTACTAATTGTGTGTGTGTTTAAATATATATATACACAGACAAGTAGTGTAACAATGTGTGTGTTTAATGTTAAAAAGTCAATTAGAACAGTCATTTGCTGTGATATTTCACAACTAAAGGCTGGCTCATACTACAGTGGTGTGATTGATCTAAATCCAATCGCAATCACGATTTGAAACGTTGCATTTAGCCAATCGCAAGAGGCTGCGAAAATATTTTTGTAATATTTAATTTCCCCTGCCCAGAGCAAATGCGTGACTGCCGTCTGTGTGTGATAGTCTTACTAGCCAATTGAGTAAGCACAACTAAGTGATGGGTGTCTTGCTAAAAAGTCAGCTGAAAGTATTGCCAGTGACACTCATTCTAGTAGCAAGCAACAGCAAAGTACAATTTCAGAGTTATTTCAGCCATGTTAGTTTGCTGAGTGTTCTGTATTTTTATAATTATTATTATTGTTTTTTTTTTATGAGTTACACTATCTCCCTAATTTGAGTTCAACTTATTTACTGAAAAGGTAAGGTCATTTTATTTGTGTTTACTGTTTGCTCTAGGCAACGCAGTGGCGCAGTAGGTAGTGCTGTCGCCCCACAGCCAGAAGGTCACTGGTTTGAGCCTCATCTCGGTCAGTTGGCTATCTGTGTGGAGTTTGCATGTTCTCCCTGCATTTGCGTGGCTTTCCTCCGGGTGCTCCGGTTTCCCCCACAGTCCAAAGACATGCGGTACAGGTGGATTGGGTAGCCCAAATTGTCCATAGTGTATGAGTATAAATGATTGTGTATGGATGTTTCCCAGAGATGGGTTGCAGCTGGAAGGGCATCCGCTGCGGAAAACATGTGCTGGAAAAGTTGGTGTTTTACTCTGCTGTGGCGACCCCGGATTAATAAAGGGACTAAGCAAATGAATGAATGAACAAATGAATGTTTGCTCTCTAGAAAAATGAGGTTTTTATTTCTGAATATTTAAAAATTTATTTGAATAAGTTCATATCTTTTCAGTTCCTTTTTTAACTAACACTCACTGCATTTTAGTAGTAAGAAGCTACGATAGAGATTACTGAGCTGAAGCTTGACTACAAAATTAAATCGCAAATCAAATCGAAATTGCAATATCACAACTAAGATGACGTGCCAAACATGGAACAAAACGGAGGAAAAGAGGAATTTTGACATCATCTACCCATGACACTTTCACTATCACGCGTTCTGAAATGATTCCTCACAGCAAACATAAACAATCTGTAGTGGCAAGTTTGCACACAGCGTGCCTCAATAATAAAACCAGGAACAAATTTGAATTGTGACATGGATTGCATGATCAGATTCGGTGCTCCTATTGGTTCTTGGGTTGATGCTCATTGCAGCTGTTGTCTAACTGCAGGAAAGTGTCTGAAATCTTCTAAAACTGCCAGAACTTCATCAGAGAGAAAATTTGATCGCAACAGGCATTAAGCGGCTGTTGGTGAACATGTCAAACAAACGATTAAAGATCACAGATTTTAGCCTGGAAGTTCATTTTTTAGGATTTCCCAAATTTCACTCAGATGACAAAACCGTGGCTGAAATCTCACAGTGTGAGCAGGGCTTAAAAATTCTCACCTAAAAAATAGATTTTATTAAAACTACTCTGGTTAAAATATTAGTTAAACAGTTTAATAAACCATTAAATCAGAGGTGCCCAAAGTTGGCCCATGGTAACCCATTGTTTGGTCCGCCATCTTATCTGAGAACTGAGGGAGAATGCTGGGGAGTTGGTTGGGGCGAATGCCTTTGACAGAGATAGTCATTTTAAATTTAAAGAAACAAAAGGTAACGTTGTTTAATTGAGGAACTACAAAAAGGCAACTAAAATGATATACTCTAAATACAATCAGTCTTTTAAAATGTAAATACTGCCACTTTACAGATAGAGGACAATGCACATCAGTAAGCAAATCAAGGCAAAGGCAGGAGCAGCTCAACTAGTGTATTCAGCATTGATCAGCATTGTGTTATAAATAGTATCGTTTACGTTTTTACTGTAATTAATTATAAAACATTAAAAGTGATTGCATCATTATAATGTTTTAAAGCAACATTTTCTAGTTATTTTTAAATATTAGCAACAAATTAGGAAATCACACATGGCAAATTTATGGTAATACTGTTTGTTATATTCAACTTCGGCCCACAGCCCTCAATCAAGTTTGGTTTTTGGCTTTTATATGAAAATATTTGGGCACATGCTAAAACATGCTATGCTTTTTATTACTTTGACCTATTGCCATTTTATGCAAAAAATAAACTGTAAATTACATTTTTGTATTTAAATGTATAAAAAATATGTGTGTAGGTGTGTATGTATTCTTTTGGATTAATTTAATGCATATATCCTAAATAATAATGTTAAAAGAATCTGAATTAGATGCTGAAAGTAAGTATGAAATAAAAGAGAAATAATACTAACCCCAAACTAATGAAAAACATCAGCATTAAAAAGAACAAAATCAGAAAAAATAATCTCATCACTCACAGTAAGTGAGACGTTAGCATTAGCCAGCTCCTCCGCACGCTTCTCCAGAGCACTGACCCACACTTTCCGCTTCTGCCGGCAACGAGAAGCAGCAGCTCTGTTTCGTTCAAGAAAGCGGCGCCGGCGTTCATCCGGCTCAATATCAGCCCCGCGGCGTCTGCGTCCACCTTTTGGAGGAGCGGGAGATACCTGCAGGACAAAACCATGGCCTGTCAGATCCACTGAATGTGGGTTAAACAGAAAATAAGCTCAGCTGAAGCATTGCACGTATCCCATTTAAGCCCATTAAATGTAAGGATTATATGTAACACAGGTATGAGGTGTCTGTGAGCACCTGTGGTTGAGCAGGTGATGGTGTCTCAGTGTGATCAGTTTTTTGAATTGGTGCTGGTCCACTAGGACTCGGCTGAGATAGTGCTGCTTTTAGCCTCTAGATGGAGACAGATCCCATACACAAACACAAGCAAACACCACAGCGTGTAAATTAATGCTAAAAAAGCCCCGTGTGTTACATTAGTGTAGTTACTTAAAAGTTACATAATAAGCCCGTTTTCAGCATTTATACCTGAATAAACAGTGCATGTGCTAGTGTGGGTGTATGTGTGCTCATTCTCACCGTCTTGGCATCAGAGTGTGTACTGTATCCAGACGGAGAGGAGGAGCCGCTGCTGCTTCCGCCAATAGGAGGGCCAGGAATCCCTGGGATATTGGGCACTGTGTTTGATGATCTGGCAAGCTATATATATACACACACACATAGCAACACGAGTTTAATGTACTATAGACACAAATACAAAACAGATGTGTTGTTGTTTTGAGGGTCGTGCTGCTGAAAATGTCTTCACAGATACAGTAAGATAGTAAATGCCATTATTTTAAGAACAAAGCATGTCTGTGGGAGGTTTTCACAAGTAGGGATGTAGTGCATATTTTCAGAATTAACTAGAGAGAGGGGGTAAACAACATTGCATATTTTAAATGATTGAGTCGCTAGGGTTGTTCACATTAGATGTATTCTTGGATTTCAAAACAGCTGGACAGAGTGCAACAGACTTCATAAATGCTGGACTATTTTTAACTTGACATGCTGATGGTGTAAAAAGGTTAAAAAAATAAATAAAAAATGCAAAAGCACACATAACAGATATTCCAAAAGTGGGTAAGCTAAACAGCTATGGCCTTTTACTGAAAATGATTAAACTACACTTATTATACAGTGTTTCTATACTTTACATATTTCACTCAAAACTCAATTCAGGAAATTTACTGAAGGCAGGAGATGGTCAAATAAAATGCATAGCTACTAGTGAAGCACACTAACTTGTTTAACTGATGGATGAATCAGCATTTTTAACAAATCTTGTCAATAAACTATTCAATGGCCATGTTTCCACCCACCTATTTTTATGCGCATTTCGAATATATGCATAAAAATGGTTGATGGAAATGCCAAGGTGCGCATAAATTTTGAAAATGTGCATAAAAGACGTATGTGCATAACGGAGTAGGATAAACTATTTATTTGATAAGAAAAGATGCGCACAATCTACGATGGAAACACTTTTACCGAACAAATTCCAGTATGTGCATTAAAGAAGTCATGTGATTTTGTTATAAGAGAAGATGTGATATTAAAAATGTATGGCGTGTGAATGGACAAACCAGCAGGCTCAACACATTGTAAAACATCTGAAATGTTGTTTTGGTCATACTAAAATGCCTAAACCACTTCAGTATTAGTGTTTTTATTTCATTAATTACTTTCAGAATTATTAAGAGCAGGGGTCTCAAACTAACACCCCTCCTCCTCCCTCCAGCCCCCAACTGACGTCAAAAATATAGCAAGATTCGGACCAACAAAACATATTTTTGAATCACTAATATTGTTGTTGACTTAAGGTACTGTACTATATATTTGGGTTACTTTCGATTTTCTCAGCGTGCGGTCGAGTGTAATGCACATGCAGATTATTTCTGGGGCTGATTTAAGCGTAAAAATACATGTGCGTAAGTGCTCTTTTTTACTAAAGCTCTATTATTTTAAATATTCAAGGGTCATTTTTTATAATCAGTTTTATACTACTTGTATCTTGTTGTACAAACACCTCTTCATTACTTACACATTATGCTGGTGGTGTAAATATAATTTTGCTAATTTGCGATTCAAATGGTCCGATTAATAGATTTTCCCAATAAGAATGTTCAAACTGCCCTCCTATGAATTCTCAGTCACTGACATGGTCCCACGCCAATTTGAGTTTGAGACCCCTGGTCAAGAGCATCTGTGCTCCACATCTAATGCCTTCAAACGACACCACCCAATCATTATATGTCAGCATTGTCATCTGAAATGCAACTAATTTATTAAAAGAGAAAATATTCACGCAGCTTCAACCGAAGAAAATTCTGTTTTAATTTTGGATGTTTGGCGACAGCTGATCAGGAATTGATGATTTTGTTCTCTGACTCTTTGGATGGAAACGCTGCTTTATTTGCGTGTCTTTTATCCGATAATCCAGTTTTGCACATAAATTTAATTTGCATGATTGGATGGAAAGATAGCTAATGACTCAATCTTTAAAGCATGTTATACAATTCATGAATCAGCACTTCAATTACAATTAGACAGCATTAACTTGTTGCCACCTACTGGCATATCAATAAAACCACACAATTTGTAAAAATCTATTTACGTTTAAACAACAGCTCTCTCTGGGTCAAATGCAGGTCAGATTGTCTGCTTTGATCATACTCATCATAGGTTTCATAGACATAGGCTACATTTACATTTGTGTTTATAAAGCTATGTTGATCTTTTAACAATTATTAGTGTCATTTTTAATCATGACCCAATAATCAGCACACGTGTTTGAGCTCTTCATACCGATATGACTGACGTCTGCCCCGGACTGGGCAGCAGAGGAACCGTCTGACCATTTGGAAGCTGCATCAGCATAGGAAAAGAACCAGACGGCGAGCTGAAAAGACAGCAATAAATATACTATTTTAGGACATTTTTTCACACACACAGGGTGAGGAAGCAGAGGTGTGAACATCACTGAAATGACTCATGCGATTAAAAAAAGTTTCAGCTCTGAGGAGTGAATATTTGGTTGGATCAACAGCTAAACTGCCTACATATACACATATACAAACAATGACTTGAATTTCCCTCTGTTTGTACCTAAGTCTGTTTGATGGAGGGGTTCTGGTAATAACAGAGGTGGGAGAAGGCTGAGTTGGGTTCATGGAGTCAAATCCCTGGTGAAGTGGGAGCGAGCCTGGACGCACTATGGTTGGTGTAGGGGTGGAACTTGCAGCAGTTCGTGGAGGAACATCCTGCAAGAGCGAGTAACATGATAATGCTGCAATGCCAAAAATACTGTAATCCAACTTGTGGCATATTCAAATTTACCTTAGCTTTCCTCAAGGCAATAGCCTCTTTTGCCATGGCAACTGTATCTTTGCTGTTTGTCATGCTGGAGGCGGAGTCAGGGCTGTCTGGAGGGGAGGAGTCAATTTCAAGAGGCCCCTCCCTCTCTTTAACCTCAGTAGGTGTCTGTAGAGCTGGATGCTTGGAAGGCAAAATTCAGGTGTTAATTCAGGTAATTAATTCAGGTAACTAAATAAACAGTTGATAATCTTTAATAGGTCACAAGCTATGTTTCCAGCCACATATGTCTGCCCATTTTGGGATAACAATTTTGATGACAGATAAAATCTTAAAATGCTATTAAAAAAATGAGCTCAGTGGATGTAGATATCTTCCTTATAAAATAAGATGACACACAAATCATTTGGAAACTAATTTTTTAAAATGAATTCCATGATGAACATATCTCAGACTATGCCATAACAGATCATGTGATTGATCCACTGGTTAATCCAATTTTATTAAATACTATCTTATTAAACGTCCTCTTACATATTGTTTTAGTTATTCTGAAATACTTGGTACAAAGACTTTCATTTAAATGGTTTGGTAAATTTTTAACATTAAACTGTCTGACATCTTCAAGCGTCTGCCTCTGAAAGGAAGAAATGCAAACTGAAAACTATAAAGGTTTTAATGGTTGTATAAACTTCAATTTCTGTTATTCATAATGTGGGACAGTTTGCCAGATTTTAGGATTTTGTTTTTTTTCACACTGAAAGTCAAAATATTTCTGCAGCATTCCACGTGAATTCACAAATACGGATGGAAACATAGCTAGCTACACGTCCCTCATTAATATCTTACCGTGCCCTTAATTCTCCTCTCCTCCTCCTCATGTGTTTTTCGAAGATCTTGCTCAAAGGAACCAGCCAGCTCACTAAACAAACCCACCTCCTCACAGTTTTTAAGAAATCGGGTGGGAGTGGGTGTTTGATCTGCGCACAAACACACACACAACATGACAAACAAGATGCACTAAATGCTAGGTCATTTACAGAAAAAAATACACAGCCAAATACAAGATTAGAATGATCAGCATTCACTTTAAATCTAAAGCATGTGACGTACAAAAATTCTCTGTACACACTTTTTATAGATTATTGGCTACTACAAGCATTTCATTCAGGGTTTAATCTGTTTCAAAAGTGTAAACATTGAGTCTGCCTGGCACCATTGAAGGGATCGTTCACCCAAAAAATGAAATCTTCCTCACCATTTACTCACACTTAAGTGGTTCTAAACAATTATGATCATCTTTCTTTCGCTGAACACAAAACAAGACATGAGGAAAAAAACTGCCTTTGACATAGAAATCGATGGCTTTGTTTTCCAACATTCACACTCTGGGCCCCATCATACACACGACGCAATAAGGAGCTAGACGCGTTTGGTGCAATTTGTTGCTATTTTCAGACCAGCGCAACCCTAATTTTCACGTTTTGCACCACTTTGTTTGGTAGCAAATCCATTTGCGCCACTCTGTGGACTCATGGGTGTTCTGGTCTAAAAAGGAGGTGTGCTAAGGGGCATTGTTGGCACTGTGCTCTTTTGAGGAGCTTAAATAGACTGTGCCATTGACCAACTAAAAGCTGATCTACAGTCCAGCACAGAGCGTTTTAGTCATGCGCAAATGCAGGTGCAAATGCTTACACAGTGCTTAATACACACAAGATAAACAGCAATACACAAATATCTTTACATATGTTTAGGATAAACAAATGAAAGGGATAAATGTTCCAAAAAATATTTTTCTACATAAATGTAAAATCCATCATGTCCATGTCAGGGGCCTTTTTTCAGTTGCTTCATGACAATTTGGATTTGTATAATGTTAGTATTATATGCATATTTATATTTCTTTCTAAAAAAAAAACAAGTTTAGATTTGTCCACCTGTCAGGTATTTGAGACGTACGCGAGACATAAGAATAGGGCGTGTTTGGATATAACTCTTATTTTTTTCTTTTTTTTTTTTTAACCACACTTTATTTTCGAACTGAATTAGACCTGAATTTAGACAGTTTTGAAACAAATCTTTGCGTTTTAAAAAAAATTATATATGTAGGATAGCCGATGTCTTTAGTGAAGTAACACAATTTTCTTATCCACGAATGAAAAGGAGTAAAGAGTACAAGTAAAGAGAAAACAAAATGGCTGAATGGAGGAGATTCATTCTTTATCCTTGCGCTGCAGATGGTCTGTTAAAACTTGTAAAGCTTTCAGTTTTTCCACTTACAAAGTCTGCCGTGTAAATAACAAAAGTGCCACGCAACTATTAAAGGGAATGGGAGATTGGTTCTCCAATCAGACTCTGATTGGTTTAATGCACTATATGCTCAAAACACACCCACAACTCATTAAGAGGATAGGCACAACCCTGTTAGATAATGCGCTGTGGGGTGCACAGCAGAGCATATTTTTCCATCCCTAAAATAGCAAAAGGAGATTCGGACACATCATGCTTTAGACTTTATGCTTTAGACTTTGCGCCTAGATCACTAAAATAGAGCCCTCTATGTTTCAACAAATGAAAGAAATTCAAACAGGTTTGCAACAAGTGGAGGAAGAGTCAATTAAAATTTGGGGTAAACTATCTATTTAAAACATTATTCAGACCACTGCAATCACTCACTTTTTAATCTTACATGGGAAGAGAAATCCAGATTTACTTACAAAAAAAGTGAAAAAATAAATTCTAAGACAACAAAATCAAGAAAGATTCAATCAAGACAACAAGCAAGTTTCTTCTTGACAGGTTTAGCTGAACTAAATTGCCACAAAATATGCTTCACATTCGCAATTCTGCTGGGTGACACTAGTACTGCAGAAACTGCATCAGCGTAAATGAAAACAGCAGATTATAACTTCCTCACACAATTATGATAAACACCATATTATCATGCCCTGGTGTGAATGTCAAAACGATTATCATCATAGATTTTATCTTAATGCAAATGAGCCATAACCCAGGCACTCTGAATAAAAAAAAAACTCACATAAATGAATCTACATAGTGATACAAACCTGCAATGATAACGGTGTCTGTTCTGGCTTGTCCAAACTTCAGTGTCATCTCATGCTTATGTTTATGCACTGCCAGATGGTCCTCATTGGTGAACCTCTGATGTGAGAGAAACATTGACAGAGACGCATGCATTAACCCGCTGCAAAGTTTTCAGTCGATTTGCATCTCATTCCAGGTCCTAATTCAAATCAGATGGAAGCCAAAAAACAGAGAAGCAGCGGATGATATCTGGCCATCTGTTGTTTTGATGACGGCTTATGTTATCCAGTTATGATGTGCTATGGGAGCCTCTTACAGTTGCTTGGTGAAAGCAGGGATTAAAACAGCTGGTGTGACTTCAAAATAAAAGTGCTCTCCCTGTGACTAAGGGCCCTTCGATATTGCAGGCAGAATAGAAACAATCTTAAGCTCCCAAAATTCTTGATATGGACTAGAGGATGAGGACAACGCCTCACATTGAAGAACAAAAGCAGCATTAAAATCAGAATGTAAGGAGAGACGCTGCAGGGAAAAACACTTTAAGCTTTTTTGTTTTTTCTCTAAATGTTTCTTCAGGTGAAAACACCCAAAATAAACTGGGAGGTGTTTCTATTCTAGCTTTTATTTTCATTTGTGTTTGTAGAATTTAAATAGGGCTGCACAATATTGGACAAATCTAACATTGCGACATGTTTTATTTAGCAACATATATTGTGATATGAATACAATTCCACCAGATGACTTGTGAGATGCAATGTAATGTGTATTTATATAACGCATTTAATGTGTATGGCTATACACCCAAAGCGCTTCACAATCATGAGGGCGGTCTCTCCATACCACCACCAGTGTGCAGCATCCACTTGGATGATGCAACAGCAGCCAAAGGACAACGGGACCAGTGTGCTCACCACACACCAGCTATAGATGAAATGGAGAGACAGTGATAGAGCCAATTCGATGGCTGTATCCTGTAGGCAGGGCTATTCAATTAGTTTGTCATGGGTGCCGGTTCATGAAAAGCATCCCAAACGAAGGGCCGGAGAGATATGACTTGCTATGTGAGTGAAGACAAAACAGCATATAAGAGCCCATATGCTGTATAATTTTGCTCCTTTAGACACCCACGTTGGCTTTTTCTACATTAAAATGTTAATCTATTGTATTTTGAAACTACATAATATCAGTGCATTGTACAATTGACTTTTTTTTTTTTTTTTTTAACAAACATTCAAATGTTGTATTTCGGAGCACAACAAAAGCAGTGCATTGCTGAAGTAGGCTTCTTCTACAATCAGGCACATTCATATGTTATGTTTTGAATTGCATAACAATTATAGATTTTGGTTAAGATAAGAAGATTATACCAAGAATAATCATGGTTTCACTGTTATCAAATATCTAATGTAAATTCAAGCTTTATATTAGGTAAACAGCTATTAGATTAACTGTTGTTGCCATCTGCATTAGTGCATGCATAATCATTTTATTAATAATTAGTCTAACATATCTTTTGTTTACATTGCACTGAAAGGCACGCACAACTCTCACCGTGAGAGGTTTTCTACTGCGTGCGCCCTAAAAGACGCAAGCGCGTCGCTCCGCTAGCGCCCGCATATTGTCATATATTCTTACATTAGAAATAAAAAACTTGTAAGCAGAAAAGACGTGATATGGGAACGGCCGCTGCTATAGTTATCCGGTGCGTGTGTATTAGCCTCAGTGTACTTCAAACTTCAAACTAGCGCACAGGCAACTTGGCATTTTGCAGGGGTTTCGTTTCATTCTGTGCAACAGAAATGCGGCTTGGAGAAGACTTTACGATTAATAAACTGTGACGAATTAAAGCGCAGTTAATAGTGAAATCGGCTAATCGTGGCATCCCTATTAACGATATCAGTGCATTGTACAAATAGTCTTTAATTTCTACAAACATGTTTTCGGCTGCCCGCACCAGTCTCTTATGATGATGACTCACACCTCTGTGCAGCCTTTAACTGCAGCTCTTGCTGTTATTGAACAGACACACGTCACTTCATAACTAAAGCAGCCGTTTGTCGACTGAACTAAATTTATTTTTGATGCCTTGGTCAATGTTTGGAGGGCCGGAACAAAGTGCCTCGGGGGCCCGTGGTGCGCCAATTGAATAGCCCTGCTATAGGGCTGCACGGTTAATTGAAAGAAGATCACGATCTCGATTCGATCCTAAACACGGTCTTAATTCAGCTTTTTCTACGATTCAGCCAATTATATTTTCAAGGTCAAGAGAGAAGCAAGGCAGTCGCACAAGTGTTCACAGCAACATTGACACCTTCAAATGGCATTAAAAGTGTCACATACTGTTTTTAAAAGGTATAATTCACCCAAAAATGTCATTTCTGTCTTCATGTAATGGTGTATTCGTGACCGTGAAATCACACATGAGCTGACCGCAAGCTGTTTGTTTACTACCGAGAACGCACGCTTGCACCCATTGCACCGACTTTAATGAACACAACTTGCATAGGCTGTGAATGACAGGTAATGAAGTTGTAAATAACGTTCAGTTTGTTGCACAGAGTGATCGTTTGAGGGCCGTGTGGGAGCTTTAATTTGCATGTATGAGTTTTTTCTCAGTGACAGCAGCCATGAGCCACACTCGGAAGTGAAAGTGAAACCTGTGCGCACATCATTTAAATGACCATATCGCATTTTAGAGTTATGATTACGACAAGCATTTGATATAGTTTTTCTTTCATTGCTAACACAGTGTTGTGCATGAAAATAAATGTTTACTGCATCAGTATAACTACCCTAGCCTATATAATTTTGAATATAATGCAAGAAGGAATCTGATAATGACAAATGTCTTATTTTACCAGTGAAAACAAATGGTCTAGTAATGTTGTGAATAACAGGTGATAGGGCTGTGCAATTAATCGAAAATCCGATTTCGATTTTGGCTTTTAACGATTACGAAAAACCATTAATCGAGATAAACTATTATTCCATCATGTACCGTCCCCTTTCCAGTTGTACAGGTGTGAAAACTCTGCCTCTGCAAAGCTCAGTTCCACGTGAAAATGACTAAAAGCATGTGCTGTAATGTAACTTTTGCAGCACAGGATGCTCATCATTCATAATTCATAAAAAGCGCAAAAGAGCATGTGCTGTCGTGTGTGTGCGCGTGCCTTGCTTAGCCTCTGACAGGTAGCATGTGTGTTTGCGCACGCACCGCGCTTAGCCTCGGACAGCAGAACACACACATCTAACGCGATCTTAATGTGAGTGATTTAATGGTCAAGTACATGCACATTTTTGTCAGAGCGCGGTGTTTAGTGATTATTCATATTAACCCTCATTTGTGTAATAAACAGACAAGTTGAGAATCAAAAGACACGTGAAAGAAAAACCATATCATAGCGGCACTATTCTTAAAGTGACAGCGTGCGGTATTTCTGCTGCTGCCGACTGTTTTTATCATTAATCAATAATAAAATCAAAAATACAGTGAAGTTGCTTAAAGCACAATTTAAACATAACAGATTTAATAACTGATTTCTAAAAACGGATTTCTTTTATCTTTGCTATGATGACAGTACATTATATTTTACTAGATGTTTTTCAAGATACAAGTATTCAGCTTAAAGTGACAATCAAAGGCTTAATTTTGGATAAATAGACAAGTCATTGTATAACAGTAGTTTCTAATAATATAGGGGCTAATAATATCGAGCTATTAAAATGGGTTTCAAAATATTCAAACCTGCTTTTATTCTAGCTGAAATAAAACAAATAAGCCTTTCTCCAGAAGAAAAAAATATTATAGGAAATACTGTAAAAAAAAAAAAACCTCTGTTAAACATCATTTGGGAAATATTTATAAATCAACGAAGGGCGAAAAATTTTGACTAACTGATAATCGTTTTGAACAATCGTGATTACAATTATGACCAAAATAATCGTAATTATGATTTTTCCCATAATTGAGCAGCCCTAACAAGCAAATGTCTTGAACATAATCATTCAATTTTATAATTATGAATAGTTATATTCTGATGTTATAATTTTACTGTGAATTAACAAACAGGACATATTGAAAGTCTGTTCAAGTCCACCATAATGACTATACAAAATTTAGCATTTAACAATAATAATATGGCTTATTAAATTAACCTTTATTTTAAATTAACAGGATCGTGAAAATTGTGACCTTGATTTCAAGCTAAAAAAATCGTGATTCACATTTTTGCCAGAATCATGCAGCCCTAGTATCCGGTCACATTTGCAGTGCAAAAACAGTGCAAAATTAAACGCGTGAACTGTGTGTTCGTAAACTTTGTAACGACATTGTGTGTGACTCGTCGAAAGGCTTGAATTAACTCTTGAATTAACAACAAATACATCAGATAATCATTGGTAAAGTTCTCACTGTAGTATTCATCACAAACTTGACATGAGATCTGCTTCCTTTATGTCTGTCACTCTGCTGTTTATCTGATGCAGCAGGAGATTGAGGGCATATGGGAGACACTCTGACAGGCACATGGGAACGGTGGGTGGGGAGAACTAGCATTAAAGGCACAGGCAACAAAAACAGCTACATTGTGTTCAGAGCAGAAAATTCCAATGTTCTGAGATGTATAATAAATAATCTGAAACTTTACAGACACATTCTGGAGACACAAAAGATTTATCTTAAATCTTAGGTGCCCTTTACTATCTCTATTTGGAAATGATTTATAATGTTAGATCAACTGGGATGATTCTGCAGTGGGAATGCATCTCCATAAAATCTAATAAACTCTATAAAATTTTTATGGGTCCCCGACACATTTTCATTGTGGTCTGTGCTATTGGCGGTTTATTTCTGTATGTGCATGTATTCAATCAAGAAAAAGATACAAGTGTTTTATAATTACCCGAGTCTAACAATATTTAAGTACAGTAACTGAATGATACAAATAATTCAATAAAATGAATCGTAGTAAAAATGGTACAATTTCTTAAACCTGAATGTTTTTAAGTTATTTTACAAAAAAAAGCCATCAAAAACATGTGCAAATGAGAAATTCAAATACAAACTAAACATTGAATATCCTGCGATGTGACTAACGTTGCGACATCGATGCTGAAACAATATATTGTGCAGCCCTAATTTCAATTATGATGCATCTTTTTGGGGCCAAAAGAAGATAAATATCCATCAGACCCGCACTATGCCATAAATCATAGAGGTAAAGTTGGGTTTATATTTACAAATTCGGACTTTCTTCTAAATAATATAATTTTAGAAAAGGATTCTTTGCAAATTCTACATAGTAAAATTATATTAGCAGCCAACAACTATCAAAATACAACATTGTTCACAGTCAAATAAATAGTGCTAATGTTGTTTTGTAAGTCATACTCGCATGCAATTTCAGACTGAATATTCGAAGTACTGTGATAAAGAATAAGGGGAGCATGTCTAAAGTTGTCATTGAACAAATGTGCGAATATAAAACCAACTTTACCTCAATCCACATCAACAGCACTTGCACAAACAGAAACATTACAGTTTTATATTTAAATTCTGAGAACATTTACAAAGGGATATGTTCATAAATAATTAGGCTGATTGTAAACAAAACAATGCCTGATTTTCATATTTAAGTTAACATTTTATTTGAGAAAAATTACAATACAATTTTTAGAGTAAAGTTAATCACTCAACTGTGGAAGTATACTGATGACTGTTAGGCTACTTAAATCTTTACCCTATTCACCTGCAGTGTCTTGCCTTAACAGTAAGGATAAAATAAACAGCTCTTACCTGTCCACAACCTGGGGCAGTGCAGACAAAAGGTCGATCGTCTCCCATTTTAGATCAACTACTTCCTGTGTCACTTCTAAACACCATTCAGAGAGAACAGTTATGATTTTTCATTACTAGGATCAGTAAAACCCCATTTACGGCTCAGTTTTTACAATCTGAACGTCATTTAAAACAAGAATCCCCTCCCAAACTTTGCATTTGTAATGTTGTGGAGTCTTTTGACAGATGACAGGAATCCCTGCTGCACCGAGGCCTGCTGGGTTCATCTGATTGCATAATGTGCATGACGATTACACGATAAGACGCTTCATTTGACTATTGTCGGAGATCGTCCCTGTTTAAAGAACATTTCCGCTCAATTTAACAGCTTCAAACCAACAGCTACATCATACTAACACCTACCGCTAGCTAGCATGCGTTCCTTTCTAATTATATCCAGAAAGATCTCTGCAAACAAATCACTCCCCTCTTAACTGTATTAAAGCAACTGGAATCATTTTAACTAAGCGATAAGACGTCGGAGATTTGTCGTAAGTCCTTTCTCGCCGTGGGTTTCGTTTAAATGCTTCTTAGCGATGTCCGATTCGTGGACGAATTGTACTTGGGAGTCGAATCTTTTCAAAACATTGGTGGAATCGGTTCATACAAACAGTTCAAATGAATCGAACTGATTCAGTGAGCATCTGAAGCGATTGTGAAAATTAAAGGGATAGTTCATCTAAAAAAATTAAAATGTACCCTATTTATTCGCCCTTAAGGTAAAAAAAAAACCTGAAGATAAATTTTTCTGTTTAGGAGAATAAAGAATATATTGTTAAAGTGTTAGAAACCTATAACCATTGACTTCCATAAAAGGAAAATATTGTTTTTGTTCAACACAAAACAGAAACTCAAATAAGAAACTTGTTAAAAGTGAAATCTGAGTAAATTATGGCAGAAATAGCAGCTTTGTGTGAACTATTGATTTAGAAGCTTTAACAAAAAAAAACTATTTCAATAAAATATACCATATTTAAAACATTTGAAAATATTCATATTACAATATTTTTGTTATTAAACATTAAAATGTAATAAATCTGACAAGATTAGAAACTACGAGATGACGTGACAGCGTACACAACAGCTAAATCATTTAAATCGATTCTTTAATACACTGGTTCAAAGGAACCGATTCGCAAAAACAGTTCGGACTTTCCATCACTAAAGCTAACAGGCTAATGCTAAGCACACATGAGCCAACAGGCTGTAACACCCAATTTACATCGAAAGCGAGTGACATTACTGGGCAAAATAAGAACACTTCCATTATACCAAACGGAGTTACAAAGCGAGCGCGCGCAGATGTCGTTGATTGTAATGCAATTGTGTTTGTGTCGCGTCTCGTGCAGTGAACAGAACACACGGCGCTCATGACACCTCCACCATTCTCGCGGCCAGTGAAGCCACATGCCAAACCACTAATTGCACAGCATCAGATAATCCTAACGTGTTGCGTGTCACCTGTTTCTCGGCCAAGGGTTTCAGTGTTTACAAACTTACCCTGCTCCTCCCTCTCTCGTTCCCTCTCTCCGCGTTCCCACCTTTGGAACTCCTTCATCCAGCAAGCTCTCAAAAAATGTAAATCTCGCGATATGTTGAGGTAATACTCAAACCAGATTAAAGTAGTTACGTAACAGATTTGGAGCAGTGATGAGAAATCCGCTGCTCTGTTTTTTTTTTACACACCAAAACACGCCCAGTGATAGAAAAGGTTTAAATGTTAGAGAAATGCTCTTAATAATAACGTGTAACTGGCAAAACTCCAAGCTAATAGATTTTACAGATATAGAGCAAAGACGATTCTAGTGCACAAACTACACATTCTACAAGATGTAATGCCTAATATTTAAACTTAATTTTGTTAAATATTCTCTTCGTTATAACACTTTGTATATAAATGTACATTTAAAAGTCGTAGTTTGAGCCATATTTTACAATATAAGGCAAGTCTACCTACTGTTTAAAGCACATTTCATAAACAATGGTAATTTAAAGTGCTTTACATAAACAGAAATAAAATAAACTAGAAAAAGATTTTAAAATTTAAAACAAATTAAAATGTTTAAACAGATGATGAAACAACGAAAAAGAAAAGACATAATAATGTGATCTGTGAGATGTAGCACAGAGCACTAAAGGCACAGCTAAACAGAAGTGTTTTCAGTCCGGATTTGAATGTGCCTAATTTGAGCACAACTGATCATTTCTGAAAGCGGATTCCAGTAGGGAGGAGCGCAGTAGCTGAAAGCCGATTCACCCTGCTTTGAATTTTTTCTAGAGGGTGTTTTAATTTCTAAACAAAAGTTATCATCTAAAGCTAAAATGAATTAGACAAAAAAATAACCAGTTAATTAACTAACTTTAACCAAAAAGACAAATATTTAAAAGAGATTATTCGGTTTATTCATCAACTAGAAGCCCTTAAACATTTCACATAATAATAAATACAAGCACACAGGTTAAAGTCATTTTATCATTTATTTTTTTCTTCCATTTCTCCTTAGCATTTTTCATTGAACATCTAATAATATCATTCAAAACATTTCACTCAGCAGTTGCTATGTCAATTCTGTTCCGAAACAGAACCTAAACCCCTATAGAATAAAAGAAAAGGCAAAAACTTGTCTTTTTTCTGTTTTTTTTTTTGTTTTTGGGCTAAAAGACTTGCTACTCATAACTGCACCATTTCATGTCTAAAAAGCTTACAGCCTACATAGGATATAAGATTAGCAACAAAATGCAATACATTTCATTTCACCAACCAGTTATGAATCAAATCCATTAATTCAGATAAAAGAATTACAAAAATAAAACCAGGTCCACTGATTTTTAATCATTTGTGTGGCGCAGTTTCTACATAGTTTGCACCCATGAATAATATAGCCAAATATAGAAAATAAGTCTGAAAAAATCTCAAACTAATAAAGCAAACAAACGTTAGGGCAAGAAAGACACTACTGAGAGTTAAACAAGACAACTTGAAATAAATTAAAACTGATGCATGAAAGTTCCCTCCAATGCCTTCGTTTTTCCTACAACAGCCAAATAAAAAGGGGATTTTGAAAAAAAAATATATATATATATTCATTAGGACACCTTCATAAGGTCACACACACAAACTCAAAACGCGTACATTGTTCAACATCTAAATGAAAACCACTCATTCATTAAACAGTGGCCCTGCCCATGGCAGAACGATGAGAGGAGCTACTGCATTTACACAGCACTTCCTGAGATTGTCTCTCAGCTGATTTGATTTTGGTCTGGATTTGTGCACAGCCCATCCATAAATGTGAATGAGACTAAGACCCTATTTTCACCTGGTATTAAGAGGCTTTGGTTGATCAAAGACATGTAGACATTTGCACTAACACTAGTAGTTTTAATCAATCCCTGTCTGCTTCAGATGACTTTTCTAACGTCTTTGAGTAAGGTTTCTCTGGGGAAAAACATTCATAGGCTTTTTCTGATCTAAAAAATTCAGAAAGAAGCTCTTGCAATTTTCAAAAAAAAAAAAAAAAAAAAAAAAGTCACTTTCAAACCACACTAACTTTCAGATGGCAAAACCTCATTGCGATAGTGCAACTGAACAACCCTTTCTATAAAGGTTTATGAAATAGGTCAGTAAGCAGAGCTCGACCACATTTGGTTGAAAGTGAACAAGAATGACACATTTTTCCCCTTCCATTTACACTTGTCCGCTTGTGATTGGATCAACAAAAACACCTTAGAAGGAATAGTTCACCCAAATTAGGAAACAACCCTATAACTTACTTGTATTAATCCTCCAATATTTTCAATTTTTACATTCTAATCTCAAATCTGACTTCCTGTGACTGCCAAATGCGCACAACACTTTCTCGGCAGACCTTGGTCTCCATTTACTTTTGTTCCAAAAACAACTCAATCTACTTCATAAGACATGCATTAACCACCTGATGCTTGTGTTTTAGTTTTACAACCCATTTATACAATTAAAACCTTTGGCAAAAGGCCACTACTCCTTAAACAGCAATGAAGAGCCAGAATATTAATTAAACTACTGTGTTGGTCTGACAGAACAGAAGTCTTATACACAGAGGATGATTCGATGGAGAGTAAACTAGTGTAATTTTCCCATTTATGGGTGAACCATTCCTTTTATACCAGATGCAAAACAGGTCAAGAAAAGGACGACAAATTGAGGAGAGAATCATGCAATACAGTGTCATCGATTAAACATTCAATATACATCATTAACTGAAACTTAAGACCCCTAAAAAGTATTACTGAACTCAAAAGGCTACAATTCAAGAAAAGAAACAAATAAAAATCCTGCATAAAGTCCACAGGACAAAATGAGCAGTCATACATATCAATTCTCTGAGGTCCTGAGTTCCCTCTTTTACCAAAGTCGACATGAGATTAGATGACACAGGTAAATGATGAGTGCTGTAGCAGGTATAATACATGTAATCCTACCCGAAATGTTCAGGCATAAATGTAAGTGTCACATAAAAATTATTAAACAAACAAACAGAAAGAAAACATAGAAAAGACAAACTCAATATCACAAACTGGACATGAACAGCGAAGCAGCACTAACTGAGATCCAACCTGATATTTGTCACCAGCATCTACAGCAGACGGAAAATAGATATTCAGTCAAGAGCCGACAATACAAACAACCTGACCTCTAAAAACATTAACAAGACTTTCACTCCAAATAAGCAAAGGAAGACAAAAAGTGGCTTCGCTCATCTGTTTGAATGATTGGAGTTCATTCATTCAGCTTAAAAGCAGCTTGATCTTCGTTATTGACATACCCAGCATTCAAAAATCACTGGACAAAAATCACAGACGTTAAACAGCACGACACTCTCAACTCGAAACAAACTTAAATATACACCACTGGTTTCTGTCAGAATCTTTTGTTCAATGCATGTCTGGCACTATTCCATCCATTTGTCATGACAAATGTTTCATTCAGCTTCACTCGGCCCTTCAAACCTACACTTTTCCTTCTT